AGAATAAACATGGCCACAACATTTTACCATGGTTGCTGAAAATGTGATATGGTTACCACAGTCCACATGGAATTGCTTCATAGACATATCTAGGCCATACCAGTTTCCATTTTTGTATTAGCACAACCGTCTGCAATTATTTCAACCCATTTCATTTTCAGTATTTCCTTACTAAAGAAAGAAAATAAGAATACTGTGTACCATGACATTCAGGGACCAGAATATTCTGATGATATCCCGGCCTCATAAAACACAATAGGGGCACTTATTAAAATTAATACAACAACGCTGTATTAATTCAGAAGTTTAAAAATGAGAACCAAAATGCAAAGGAATGATCAGAATGTATAAATGGGAATAATAGAATGCATTTTGTGACAGAGAACCACCACACTGTTTTGTTCTTACAATGTTAATGGTAAGAATGCAGATGTTAAAAAGATAGCAAGGGTTAAAAAGATAGACAAGGGAACACAAACAAAAAGCCAAATACTTTACATTGATTCAAAGTTAAGAACAAGCTTGGGCCCCTAAACAGTTAAAGCTGAGCATCAGCCCTAATGCTACAGTATGACCAGGTCTTTGTTTGCTCAAAGCTATAACATCTGCTCCCCATAATTTAAATAAGGAACAGACAGGCCATCAGACATTCAAAAACCTATGAGACCTAAACAAATCCTCTGTAACTATGGGGCTGCAATCCCTTGTCCAAATATGTTCAGATTAAAATGAATTTCAACTTGAGGGTTTTAAAAAACACAAATTGCCCAGCCAGAGAGGTAAATTCTAGCAGGAAGCGCATTTCATTAAGTAGAGGTTTTGAATCAGTGCCTTTTCAGCTGTGGGAAAAGAGAGAGAAATTTAAACAGACACATTCTCCTAATTTTGCAGAGCTATCCTGCCATAAAAGGCAACTGCTGTCATAAGAAAGAAAATATGCTACCAATAAAGTTCTTATTTAATACAAACATGCCCAGGTTCCTTTTTGTACAGTGTTTCTATAGACTAGAAAAGGCTCAGAAAATCAATATAGCCAATGCTGACTCTTCTCTTCTAAGGAACACATGGCATTTCAAAGGGGGAAAGCCACCAAGAATACTGTCTTTCATTGGCCTGTCTCTTACGATTCGGTTACCTGGAAAAAAACATAGCTTACTTACCTGCATTACATGTCATTGTATAATATATGTGTCACAAAATTTGCAAAATCACTTGAATTTTGGCCGCTAAAATCTTACATGAACCCCTGGTCTCAGCAAATTAATAAAATGTATCTGATCTGAGTGAACAATAGACAAATGTAGCATTATAGCTATGGCTAGATACCAATATTGACAGAACGTAAGGGAATGGGAGAAGCATACTGTTTTTCATCATGTATATGCCCATTTCTTGTTTCTTCTTTATTTCAGTGGTCGAATACCAGGGTTCTGAAAGTACTTGAACCCCTAAAATGATACAAGAATTGGTGTAATTCTCTTTATATGAATAACACAATTTCATTGGAGTTGGATAAGAAATCAGTATTTCACTTATTTTTAATAATTACACATTAATCTATGCATCACAGAGGTTCTCAAACTTTGTGATACAGCAACTGCCCACTGCAACTTGGCCCAGGCAAAACAAGGAGCAAAACCCAAAGCAAGTTTTGACAGGGTTACATGTGGTCCAGCAGCACAACCTGACAATCCCTGGTTTACCAAGTTATGAAAAACCTTTTTTTAAAAATACCTGTAAAATGAGCTAGCAGATAGAAAGATGAGTATATTGATCACAGAAAAAAAAGCCACTATTATACCACTCCTCAGTTCTTAGCTACTTATTTCCCATTTAGAAGAATGAGCTATCTCCTGTAAAATCTTATCTCAATTGTGAGGTAAGAGTTTCAGGTAAGGTACTAGTTTATATAGGGATAATTATATGTTTATTTTACACAGTATTAGGATTATTGAAATTCACGTATCACTTTGAACACTTAAAGGTCATATGTGTTTCATGTGGAAAGGTAAGAAATGTAAAACGATGCTTAGAGTTATGTGATAAAAAGAATGTTTGTGGATTTAAGACAAAAGTGGGGCAATTCCTTTGAAACCACTTATTCTGAGCATTATCATTAGAACGAGAAATAAATGAATGTGGTGTAAAAGTTACAATCCGTCACAAAAATATCCCATGCAAATCCCACTGAGAAAGGACTCA